CAGTGATGCCATCCAACCACCTCATTCTCTGTCATCCCCTTTTCCTCCCGCCTTCAATCTTTCCCAGCATCAGGGTCTTTTCAAAAGAGTCAGCTCTTCACATTGGATGTCCAAAGTATTGGAGTTTCAGCTTCAACATCAGTCCTTCCAATGAATATTCAGGACTGATTTCCTTTAGGATTGACTGGTTTGATCTCCTTGCAGTCCAAGGGACTCTCAAGAGTCTTCTCCAACACCACAGTTCAAAAGCATCAATTTTTTGGCACTCAGCTTTCTTTATAGTCCAATTCTCACATCCATACATGACTACTGGAAAAACTATAGCCTTAACTAGACAGACCTTTGTTGGCAAAGTAACATCTTTGCTTTTTAACATGCTGTCTAGGTTGGTCATAACTTTTCTCCCAAGGAGTAAGCGTCTTTTAATTTCATGGCTGCAGTTACCATCTGCAGTGATTATGGAGCCCAAAAAAGTCAAGTCTGCCACTGTTTCTCCATCTATTTGCCTTGAAGTGATGGAACCAGATGCCATGATCTTTGTTTTCTGAATGTTGAGCTCTTTTACTTAAAAAAAAAAAGCTTTTGCACAAATATATGTATTCCAAAATAACATAGGTTAGATTTGTTTCTAAGCTTTATAAAAACTGCATGTAGGCTTCTAAGGCTTGCTTTATTTAATCATCCCTTCATTCTCAGGTCATTCTCACTGCTAAATAAAATTACAAAACCTACAACTTCTTACTTTCTTGTCAGTGGTGGCTAAGAACAGAGCTGCCTTAACATTCCCACACATGTACTCTTACACACATATGCACGAATCTAAGGTATACATGCAGGAGTAGAATGGTTAGGTTTTAGAATTCATAAATGCTTAATTATACAAGATAATGCCCAATTGCTTTCCAAAGTGTACCAGTTTACAACTCCACCTTTAGAAATCTTCCTGATGTGCATCTTCTTCATCAGTACTGTCGTATTTCTTAATTTTTCCATCTATTGGATGTAAAATAGTACTCATTGTGGCCTTTTAATTAGTTGATCTCTTGAAATTAAACATCTTTTCATATGTTTAGTCACACCTTCTTAAAATGCCATTTTTTTGCTCATTTTTTTTCTTACAGGACAATGATGAATAGAAATTATGTGATAATAGGCATCCTTGTCATGTTCCTGGTTTTTAATGTATACAACTTCATCATGATGCATTATCCTTTTTAAATAATGTTGAATTCAGTTTATCAATAATGCTTTTGACTTTCAGATCTGTGTTAATAAGTGCTGTAAGTCTGCAATTTTCTTTTCTCCTACCTAATGTCTGATTCTAGTATCAATAAAAACTACATAGGCCTTGTAAATTGAGCTGAAGAGTATTCCCTCACTATCTATTGAGTTTGCATGAAGTGTTTGAATAGCAGTCTTTGAAAGGGAAGTAAAACATTTGGATGTTACCAAAAATTTTAAAAGCATTTTCTATTCAATACTATTGAGTAAGTAGTATGTAGCTTGTCTATTTCTTCTTCAGCCAATTTAAGGGAAAGGTACTTTCCTACACCTTGGTCTATTTTGTCTAAGTTTTCAAATACATTAGAAATGCTCCTGGTAGTCTTATCATTTTCATCTCTGCTACGGGTTAAGACCCCATTTTCAATCTTTATGTTGTTTAGACTTGTTTTCTTCTTACTCAAATACACCAATTTGTTTTGTCATGAAAACAACTTCAACATTGTGATTCTATGTTTTCTAACTCATTAATTTCTTCCCTTTTCCTGTGTCTTCCTGCTTTATGTTGTGTTTATTCTGTCAATATTTTCCTAGGTTATACACTTTGCCTTTAAGCATTTAAAATCATTTTCCTCTAAGTGCACTTTCTAGTGCATCACCCAATTTTTCCAAATGTAACACATAATTAGGTTCTAAGTATGTTTTTTTCTTTCATCTATGAAGCTTTTTTAATCTTGTAAAACCATGAATAAAAAATAACTTTTATTAGTTTTTAAAATAACCAACTTCTAATTTATCTCTATTCATTTAATACCAACTTTATGAAATTTATTGTAACTTACTTCATGCCTAATAATGGTCAATTCTTCTAAAACACAATGCTTATGAAGAATGTTCTCTGTTGCTCATTCTAAACGTGGTCATCGAATCAATACTGTTAACTGCATTAATAAAATCTGCATTTTCATTTTTGGGTCTGATATGTTAGTAACTAAGAGCTGTTACAATTTCTGACTGTTGCTCCATTTGCTGCTTTAGCCCTGGGCTTCCCAGGTAGCACTAGTGGTAAAGAACCCGCCTGCCAATGCAGGAGACATAAGAGATGTGGGTTTGATCTCTGGGTCAGGAGATCCGCTAGAGGAGGTAACACGCTCCAGTATTCTTGCCTGGAGAATCCCAAGGACAGAGGAGACTGGTGGGCCACCGCCCAAGGTCGCAAAAAGTTGGACATGACTGAAGTGACTTAGTATGCATGCATTACACATTTTGAGGCCATTTTATTAAGCATAAAGAAATTTAAAATTATATATATATATTTCTAATGAATTGATCCTCTTACCATTATTTAGAGGTCTTCTCCATTTTTAATAATACTATCATAAAGTCTAACTTTGATTTGATAGGACCAAAGCTACATACATTTTCTTTTGTTATTTGCCCATCTTTTTCATCCTTTAAAAAACCCAGCCTATACCAGATTTTCAAAAAACAGAATCAATGTTTTTAACTGGGTTTAGCCTATTCATAGTTATTTTCATTATTTGACTTGTTACTATTATTATCTTACTAATTTTGTCCCTCACCCCTAATTTCTTTCCTTTTTGTATTGAGTTGTAATCTTCCTATTCCATATTTTAAAATTTTTCTTTGGAACTGTTCATTTCATATCTATTATTTTAACAGTTATACATTTTATGATACATATCTAACATAATTTCAAAGTTAAATAGTATCTTAACCCATTTTCTGAATAAGAAAACACTTCAGAACACTTGAACTCTAATCACTCCCCTCCCATCTTATAAGTTATTATTCAGTTTTCAATTATATCCTATTTTAAAAGTCCACATTAATATTGCATAAAATGTTATTTAATTACAATTTTGCTTCTTATAAACACTTCATCACAATTGTTTTATACAAAAAAAACACTTAATTTACATGTTTTTCATTTATTTGCTTACTAGTTTTCAATTTCAAACTGTCCTTTTGAAATCATTTTTCTTCTTGAAGATCATCCTTTTGCAATTTCCTTAATGAAAATCCACTGATGGTAAAATCTGTTTTTTATTTGAAGGTAGCTTTATTTTAGTTTTGCTTCATACAAATTCCAAGTTGATAATTTTTTTTCTCAGAATTTTGCAGCCACCATTCTACCATCTTCGGAGTCCCTGTTGCTATAGATAAGCCTTCTAAAGTTCTGTCTTGCCTTCACTGATGATCTTTTCCTCACTTTGACTCCTTTAAGAATCTTTTGTTTGGTATCTCACAGTTATAATACATTGAGTTTAGGCTTAGATTTCATCTATATATACTTAGGGTATATTGTGCTTCCTGAATTTATGAATTTGTGTTTTCCCAACCAATGTGGAAAATTGTTACTTCTTCAAATATTGCCACTTCATCCTCTCTATTCTCTCCTGCTGGTACTTCTAGTCTTCATAATTCTTCCTTCATATCTCTTACCTTCTCCTTAATATTTATTTTCTAGCACCTTCTTCTCCTTGCTGCACACTGGGTAATTTCTTTGTATCTAGCTTCCAGTTTATTTATTGACTATTCAGCTGAGTTAATATCATATTCAACATGTCTGTTTTTTATTTTTAATTGTAAGTAATATATTTTTTATCTAGCAGTTTCATTTGTTTCTTTTTCAGATCTGCCTGTGGTTCCATCCTTCATGTATGTTGATGACAAGACTGTGGAAAAGTGAGTCCAAAGTTTATTTCTATGGGTTCTTCCTCATGCTATTAATAGGCAGTTTCCAATTGTACCTGCTGATCTCCAATCATGAAATAGGATCATTTTATCTTAATCTATGGGAATCTTGGGCCTAGATCTTATTTCTACCAGGAACTATAGGGTACTGCAAACTGAGGCCTACTTCAGCTGTCCTGGATGGGGCATCTCAGATTCAGATTTATCCCCTTGTTTCTAGTCTGAGGAGAACAGCATATAGCAAAGCTGCAACTAGTATTTGTCATCCAGGCAACCACTGCCAAACTTAGGCCTAACGGAGTTGTCACAATTTACAGATCAAAATGTGTTCATTTTGTCAGGAAATAGAAAATAGAGGTATGGTTCTTAGAGATTTCCCCTACCTTCTTTGAGCCTATTAAAGGAGATTTTATTCAAGATCTAGTTGTTCTGCAGTACCTAAAGTACTACTGGAAGCAAGCAAAAGTCTTATTTAATATATGATAGACTACCCTGATATACCTGAGATAACCTGAGAAAGCTCATGATTTATGACAATCCTTGCTGATTCAAAGAGGTATGGAGAGGTTTCCTACCTCTCAATCAGAACTCAATCAGTATTTTGGAACTGATTGTACAAAGTACGAACTTATCCAGTAAGTTGTTGCCCCACCTTGTAGAAATATCTCTTATTATTCTATTACCAAGATACTCAGACAGCCCTGACTATTCAGATTTTCAGTGTCCTGATCAATATGTAGTTCAGGTCAACAGAACTAAAATCTATGAAAATAAATATTGTTTGGAACATTTTAAAAAACAGACAATAATGATTTGTTATATACAACTTACATCTAGATGCATAACTTTATTCTTGGAAGCCTGAGCCACCTATAATTTATAGAAGCAAGGCTAAACAAGGCAGCTGGTGATTTCATTTTAGTCAGAAACACATCTAACAGGACTCTGGCAGCAGATCTGGCTGCTGTTGTCTTAAATGCAGATGGCTTGTTTGCATCTTTATGATTCATAATTGTTGGTCACTGTTCTCTGGATGATCAGGAAGCTCTCTGTGCTTCAACCTAATCACTGAAGTAGTGAAAGGAGATACCCGCAGCAAGGGCTGCAACTGCAAATGCTGCAATCACACCTAAAAGTGAAACAAACACAAAACAAATGGAAATGGAATGAGCAAAAGAAAGGTTTAATTGCTCCTAGGCTTTGAAATGCAAGTAACTGATGGGGCTAAACAATAATAACAATACACAAACACAAATACATATACATACACATATACAGACATTGAAAGCCAGCAAAATCTTAGAGGAAAATACAGCAATAGTTGAAAATATATTTTACAAAGGTTGGACTGGTAATCTACTTCTAACACCTTAAAATAAAAGCGTCTTTTCTTTTTTTTTAAAGTGTCTTTTCTTATACACAAGTGCACTCATACACATATAAGAGACAATCTAAGAGACAAACTAACACATACTTTAAAAGGCGTCTATAAATATTTATATTACATTTCAGCAATGCCATCTCATGCAACTTAGCTTAAACCAAAGAGACATCACAATGCAAAGTCATTTACATAGATATCAAAAACCACAGAAACTAAAATCTAAAAATTATTAAGCTTATGTTGGCAGCTTTTATTTTTAATTTTTTCCCTGAGCATTTTAAGCTAAAAAAACAAAAACAAAACTGACCATAGTAGTCTAGATACACACACACACAGAGGTACAAAAAATATAGGTAATTAAGTTTACATAGTGAGTTAAGTGACATGAAAAATAACTGAAGTTTCTCGCTTCTAACTCTCAGTCAGCCGAAAGTCTTAACTAACTAAGCAACAGGTCACATGTCCTTTTATCAATAAGTCTGAAAAATGGTAAAGTGACCGCCACACTTCTTGGAAACTTTAAAATTAAACTGCATTAGAATTTTCAGATTTGAATTTGACTCTTTTCATAGAATATCTATCAAAATTTTTCATAGTAGCAATCCTGGGAACACCAATTTGGAAAACATTGGTGCTACTATACTTGTTGATCCCCCAATCTCAACATGATTTTCTTTTTTTTTTCCCAACATGATTTTCTTCTAAAAACACCAAAATATTTAATAGGAAGTGTCATTTTTGAGAGCACTTGGGACAATGCTTTATTTATAAATCTTTCCACCACTTTCCATAGTACTCAATAAATGCTAGCTTAATCTAGCTCTTTTAAGAAAACAAAATGAAAATAATTTTAAAGTAACAAGAAAACGCAAATCCAAAATATCATCTTTTCAATGTTATAGAAGAAATGTAATACCTATGTTTTGCTGAATTTTCAACACTATTGTAGTTTTAATTGGATGTTTTGGTTGTTCATCATCTGTGTGTTCCAATGAAGCTTCAGTATCTATAGAGGAACTTATACAGGCTGCAAGAAGATAATAATAATAAATACTAAGTAAGATGGGAATAATTATCATTTTAAAATAACCTTTAAAGAACACTATAAAAAACACACAATGAGCCCCATTTTCCTTCAGCTTGACTTTTTAAAAAATTTATTTTTTTCAACTTTACTTTAAAATAACAATTTGCTCTTTATTAGGTGTAGGTGAACTAAATTTCTTGGACCATATGTCAGACTGATATACTTTTTCAAATACTTTGTGTACTTTTATAACTGATTGATATTAAAGAGCCACAGAGCTAGTTCTGAATGATGTCCACAAACTATAATCTGATTACCATATGATAGTAGAGATAAACTGATACTAAAAATCAAACTACACAGACAGGGTAACCTTCTCTCTTCAGTTCAGTTCAGTCGCTCAGTTGTGTCCGACTCTTTGCAACCCCATGAATCGCAGCATGCCAGGCCTCCTTGTCCATCACCAACTCCTGGAGTTTAAACTCAAGTCCATCGAGTCGGTGATGCCATCCAGCCATCCTATCCTCTGTCATCCCCTTCTCCTCCTGCCCTCAATCCCTCCCAGCATCAGGGTCTTTTCCAATGAGTCAACTCTTTGCATGAGGTGGCCAAAGTATCGGAGGTTCAGCTTCAGCCTCAGTCCTTCCAATGAACACTCAGGACTGATCTCCTTTAGGATGGACTGGTTGGATCTCTTTGCAGTCCACCGGACTCTCAAGAGTCTTCTCCAACACCACATTTCAAAAGCATCAATGTTTTGGCACTCAGCTTTCTTCACAGTCCAACTCTCACATCCATACATGACCACTGGAAAAACCACAGCCTTGACTCACAGAACTTTGTCAGCAAAGTAATGTCTCTGCTTTTTAATATGCTGTCTAGGTTAATTTATAATATACTTATTGATGGTTCTGGCAATTAATCATTCTAAGCAATCATATATTAATACAAAAGCAATGACTGGCAAACTAACCCATGGGACAAACTACAGTCCATGGGACAGACCTTACATACCTAAAACATTTACAGAAAACATTAGATCACCTGAAATTTGTAATATATAAGCAAAATGTGATCATATGTTTGACCTTAAAACAACTCAATGTTAAGCAAAGTATGTACATATTTTATTTTTTTATTAGCTGAAAAATAAAATCTGGGACATTAAGTGAATATTTGAGCATCATAAGCTACAGAATGAGGATTCAAGTACAAGTTTTCTTCCTACTTCATTATGCTGACAATAATTTGTGAGGGCTAGTCTAGCTGAATTTATTTAAAACTGACTAAAAGTCTTTGAACTGAAAACATTCTTAGGGATCACACAGACAAACGGTTTTTTTTAAACTAGTGCTGAAAAACTGGACAGGAAATTCCAGTATGTAAAATAGATGAAAGCAGAATTACTCTGGTTGAAGCATAAGTGGATCCTGGAGCCATTCCCTCTTTTGCCTCAAGAGGTGATAGCAGGGTGCTGTTCTAGAGAAAGCAATTGCAGTTGATCCTTAAACAACACAGGTCTGAATTGCAAGGATCCATTTAATTACACGTAACTTTTTTTTCCCACCAAATATATATTATATGATCCATGGTCAGTTGAATCCATGGATGCAGTACTGCCATGTGTGCTAAGTTGCTTCAGACATGTCTGACTCTTTGTGACCTCGTAGCCTACCAGGTTCCTCTGTCCGTGGGACTCTTTCTCCAGGTAAGAATACTGGAGTGGGTTGCCATCCCCTTCTCAAGGGGATCTTCCCAACCTAGGTATCAAACCCATGTCTCTTCAGTCTGCCTGTACTGGCAAGCGGGTTCTTTACCACTAGCACCACCTGGGAAGCTCACGGTACTGCCCATACTGTGAAGCTATATGCGATATTTGACTGTGGGAGGGTCAGTACCCTTAAATCCCCATGTTGCTCAAGGATCAACTGTACTTCATATTGATCTCTTTATTAATATTTACAAAGAGAAGAGAAAAGCAGAGTGAGAAACAGTAAATACTGTTTAAATTCAAAATAAAATATCTTATTGCTTGGGTTTGAAATATCTTTCATAGACATTTCTGTATCCTAATGTACTGTGTGCTTATATGCGGAGTACATCACAGAAATGCTGGCCTGGAAGAAGCACAAACTGGAATCAAGATTGCTGGGAGAAATATCAATAACCTCAGATATGCAGATGACACCACCCTTATGGCAGAAAGCGAAGAAGAACTAAAGAGACTCTTGATGAAAGTGGAAGAGGAGAGTGAAAAAGCTGGCTTAAAGCTCAACATTCAGAAAACTAAGATCATGGCATCTGGTCCCATCACTTCATGGCAAATAGATGGGGAAAAAAGTGGAAACAGTGGCTGACTTTATTCTTGGGGGCTCCAAAATCACTGCAGATGGTGATTGCAGCCATGAAATTAAAAGACGCTTACTCCTTGGAAGGAAAGTTATGACCAACCTAAACAGCACATTAAAAAGCAGAGACATTACTTTGCCAACAAAGGTCCGTCATCTAGTCAAAGCTGTGGTTTTTCCAGTGGTCATGTATGGATGTGAGAGTTGGACTATAAAGAAAGCTGAGTACCAAAGAATTAATGCTTTTCAATTGTGGTGTTGAAGAAGATCTTGAGAGTCCCTTGGACTGCAAGGAGATCCAACCAGTCCATCCTAAAGGAAATCAGTCCTGGGTGTTCATTGTAAGGACTGATGTTGAAGCTGAAACTCCAATACTCTGGCCACCTGATGCGAAGAGCTGACTCATTGGAAAAGACCCTGATGCTGGGAAAGATTCAGGGCAGGAGGAGAAGGGGACGACAGAGAATGAGATGGTTGGATGGCATCACCGACTCAATGGACATGGGTTTGGGTGGACTCTGGGAGTTGGTGATGGACAGCGAGGCCTGGCATGCTGCGGTTCACGGGGTCGCAAAGAGTCAGACGCAACTGACCTGAACTGATACTGTGTGCACATCCATGAGGATGTGCTTACAAGGATGACACATAAAATTATTGAAATAATTATCTATGATACCAAAATGGATTTAAAAAATTGCCTGCTTCTCATCAATTTCTCATGAAGAAAAGTTTGTCAAGTTGAGAAACAATCCTCAGGAGCTACACCTCATTAGCATCAAGGGTACAACCACTCTTTTTTTCCTCTTTGAGCATATGACTAAAGTACTTTAAAAACGAACACAAAACATTTTTCTCTTTTGTTCTACTCCCATATCAGATCAGTCACAAAGACCAACAAACTGTTCTTATGAACTGTCTCCAGAATTATTCAGTCTTCTATATTTCTATAGCTCCCAGTTTTCGCTGTAACACTTCACTTCTAGACTACATTAGCTCACTAGCTTAAAACCTTCCCTAACTTCATCCATAAGCCTAAAAGTTGAATGTAAGTAGAATTTTATTTATTTTAAAAACATACACACACCTTTGGCTTTTCTATTAGCAAATATCATTGCTTAAAAGCTTTTCTTTAGGCCATTAAAATCTTTACTTCCGATACAAACACAAATAATGAATGAAGTATGAACTGTGCTTATTTCACTTATATGCTAGAGACATTTTTTTACTTTTTCACTTCGGTATTTATAAAAAGCACAAAAAATGGCTTTATTTTTCATGACATTACTTACTCCTTTAATACTGAATAGTTATATGTGAACATAATGCTCAAAGAAGTCAAATCCTTTGTATAAACAATTTACATCTCTTTAAAAAAAGACATTCCATTGCTCTATTTTCATTTTAAAATCTGTCATACAAAATTATATTGATTTGATACAAATTTGAGATAGTTTTACTAAAGAGCATTTTTCAAGAATGAATAAATCCTTATCATAACAATTTGTGTCTGTTTTGAGTGTGGGCATGTAGAATGGTTTTTTAAATACATGTTTATTTTATTTTTTGGCCGTACTATGCAGCATGCAGAATCTTAGTTCCCTGACCAGTGACTGAACTCATGTCCCCAGCAATGGAAGCGTGGAGTCTTAACCACTGGACCACCAGGGAAGTCCCTATGAGGGCATATAGAATTTAATTAAAATCTCAGGCACTGTAGTTTTACCAACACTTGAGTGTTAGCTGAACTTTAAATGCAAACAACATGTGATTCAAAAGGAAATTAGATCTTAATCATTTCTTAAAACCAGGTAATTTTAACTGCAGACAAATTCAAATTATTCATGTACAAAAGCAATCTTTCTTAAGCAACTGTCAACAAAAGAGAAAATAAGGGCATGATGAATACATGCTAAGTTGTAAATATATTCAATTTCATTCCGAGCTGCTGACAGGTAGGACTATTTAGAAGAAAGTTAAAATTAAACATTAGAACTTAAACTCTTAGCTATCGTCTTTCATCTTCCAGATCCCTGACTCCTAAGTTAATGAGGTTTCATTAGTCAGTGATTTAGCCATGAAAATACATCTTCACAATTACTTGTTTTCCTTTACTACCAACGTTTAACCAAACAACAAAAATTAATTTCACTTCTGATACCAAGACAGAATTAGCAAAGATGGATTGCACCAGATTTTAAAGGTGTGCCTTTAAATTTTTAGCTGATACTGTGAATAAAGTACATCTGAATTATTAGGTTAATATCTACTAGGGGATGACTAATACATTTAAGAAATTTTAAAGCCAGTTATTCCTCACCTTAAGTGAGTCATTTTGACAAATTGTTCTTCATCCCTTAAGTTATTGTAAAATACTTACTTGGCAAAATATGTATTTTAAACATAGCAACTACTTGGCAACTATATTATAGAATAGAAATAATTAAATAAGCAAATAACATAAAATACTTAGAGAATAAAGCTAGATACTTATAACAAGTTTAACAATCGTAAATGTACAATCATTGATTTCAATCTCTAAATTTGAACATGTGAGTTCTACTTTTCATGATTTTCCATGGAAACCCTCATTTCAAATAATTAGGAAAATATATTCATGCTATACAGCATTAATCTCATACTTTAATATTATTG